TCGTACCAGCACTGTCCCTTAACAAAATACACGTCAGTGGCATCCCTCCCAGCACACGTTGCGGGCATCTTCTGGCTTCTAACAGAAACAGCAGTTTACAATCATCTTATTTTTACACATACACAACAAGATTATTAATAGGTTTAAATTAAAGGCCTTTTCCCTGGCAAGAACAAGTAGGATGTGAGAACACCAAGGCATTTCTCCATGAGAGAATGTCACTCCTAGAACTGGGCAGATTGTCTGAGTAATGTACAGTTTGAACACTAAAATACACCAAGAACTGTGAACTTGCTATCTTTATCTTCTCCCACATAGCAAGGAAGTTTACTAACAACTTCAAGGCTATACTTATGCCTGTTTTGGAAGTTTCTTGTCAAGTTCCAACAAGATATTGGTGTGAAAGCAAGAATAATACAGATTTGTTTAAGACCTTCTTCCATCTTTTGTAATCTGTGTCTTCCAAAACAAAGCTATATCGTTACTGTCTGTGTAACAGTGATTACAAAGGCAAAACTTATTTCCTCCAGATTCTAAGCTAACGTATTTAGGCATCCATACATGACCATGCTTTCACAGACTCAATAACTATTTTTAAGTTCAGGCAAGAAGAATCCACTGCTCACTTGTTCAAACTAAACTTGGCTTTAATTTTGAATCTTTCCATAAGCTTGTTACTTTCACTTTTGCATTTTCTACATGGCTTCTGCATTTTTAGCACCTACACAAATACAAAAAGCTGTTTATAATGCATCGATACCTCTTTAATTAGGCTACTGGCAAGCAGTGATGTTTGAGTATACTGTAACTCAACAAAAAGCCACCTGTAATCAGAATATGTGAGTGCATAAAACTGCCTTTTGGCTTACCAAAGAGAGGAGAAAAATGACTTGTCAAAGACTACTTGCCTCTAACACGTCCCAGCTTAATTTGACGTAGGCCAAAACACGACCATTCTTCCCACATGCTGAAGCAACAGGGTCCCCAAATTTCAGTTCAACGTAAGAATCAAAAGGCTAAATTGCATGTTTATTCGCTGCTGTTGCTGTTGCTGACTGATTCCTTTTTCTGCCCTAGACCACCTCCCAGTCTGACACCCTGACTTCACCCTCTCACGGCAAGGCGTTCTCTGCCTTGCATTCCTCAGGACACTCCCAATGCTTGCTTGTGACTGCTCTCGCAGCTGCAAAACCATCCCATGCCCACAGCTTCCTGCACTGCGTTATCTTTCCAAAACCCTTCTGTTTTCCTAATGGTACTTCTTCCTTCCGGGTTAAAGCCCCATTTGCAATACCCACCACTGCTGACAATCCAAATGTCATCTTCAGCTACCTCTCAGATTCCTCTCCGCGCTTGAATCTTGAAGACAAACCAAAACCAAAGCCTTCTGAAATCTTCTTCCTTCTTTCCACAGCCACTGATTTCGAACGACCGCTTATCTCCCTCCCACATCCACTATCCCATTGTTGTATCTTTTTGCTGTCTTTTATTCTAAATGCAAGAGCTTTGTAACAAAATTCATGTTTGTTCCATAATTATACAAAGCCTTGTATGACATAACTGAGAGAACAGAGGTACTGCCACTAAGAAAAAAGGCCTTTTTTTTTTTTCCCCCTCCCCGAGATAAAAGTTTAACTTGAATGGAGAGTGATTTGTCTTAGACTATTTGTTTTAAAGTGCTTACCCACTGACATTTTCTACTTTGCATTCTACTGCTTTTTCGAAGAACAAGGGATCGGAACTGTTCAACTAAAACAGAGTAATAATTTCTCAAGTGCTGTACTGTATCTCAGACAAGGAAGTGTATTAGAAACTTCGAACGAAACCAAGGGTGAAAAAAAAAGAAAGCATGTGATATAGTACAAGGAGGAACCCAAGAAAGCACTGGGCTTTTCAACCTGCTTTTCATATATATGAAAGTACAAAAAGAACATGTGATTTTCTTTGTGAACAGGACCATAACTGTTCACAAACTATTCACAGGATGATTTCCACTATTGTTTTAATAAGAGGTCAAATAATCAGCCCTACAAGAACGAAGAACTGATGAAGCAACAAAAATTACTGGTTTTCAGTCTTTTTTACCTAACATGAAAGTTGCAGCTGTTTAATGTATCTTTGTCAACAACTACATAGCTCTGGTTAATGCTTTTCAGCAAAATATATAAATTCAGCAAGACATATTTATCCCCACTAAGAATTATTCCACCATTTTCTGTGAAATCTCATCTTAACTGAGACACCAGGGAGACCACTAAAGAACCCAGATAAGAAAAGGCAAAACCTATAAATACATGATCTCACTTAACAAAAAAAAAGCTATACAGCCAGGAGATGCACCTAACAGACCTTTCAGGTCTTTCAAAATTAAGGGCACAACCTGCATGAAAGAGGGAGGGAGGAAATTCTTTCACTTGTTTAAAAAGACAACCCCCTAAGTATTCTTTAAAAGTAACTAGTGTTTACAGCCATATCAGTGGTTATCTCTGATTGGATAAAAACCGTGTTTTTTAAAAATCCAGCACTTTCCATAGTGCTGGAAACACTAGCAATAGCTCGGAGAAAGCAAAGCCACACAACATAGGAATGGACTACAAAATGTAAATACATCTTTGACAAAATGGAGCATCTTGAAAAGCACTGTAGAAATAACAACAGCAACCAAAAAAAACAAAGTCACACATAAAACCTCAAAATAGTCCTTTAGACGACCACAGCAAAACCAAAACATAGAGTAGTTTCACTTTCTTGGGCAAGAAGCAACACAAAAGAACTGAATTTGTACCTTCTCCCTTTCCTCCAAAGGTCAGGGCTATCAAAAAAGAGGATCAGCAGAAATGAACAAAATAAGGTGCCGCTAATGGCATAAGAAAACTATGACTTGCTTCATACTGCAAGAAACAAAACTTATTTAACTCAGCAGTTAAATAAAAACCTCATCAAGTCTTTGGCAGAATTTGGATTTCTCATTGGTAGACAGGTTCATCATGTCTAAAAACCGTCATTGACCACCACTGCCTTCATTGGAGACCTTGTCCTCCGGCACCATTAGCAGTACAGCTCACAGCTGGAACAGGTTCGAGAGCTGAAACAATGACAACTGAAGTTCTCTTTAGAGCCGAACTGCTGAAGCCTCCCTAGCTCTGCAGGTAGACTTGCTAACCAACACCGAGGCGTAAGATGGGAGGACATATGGGCACACCTGGGAGGACTCATGCGATTTGAATGATGTGCTAAAGGTGCCAGTCAGTACTTGGCCAGCACCTTCTTCAGTTTCTTTGTATGCCGTCAGGCTCCCCGGCTACCAGAGCCCTTTCACCTTGGCCAACAACCTATCGGAGCCACATGAAAGCAAGGGCCAGCGCATCAGGGCTGGAACCCCCAGTGGTGCGAGTACGGACAGGGAGGGCACCGGCCGCCCCTCGCGGCTGGCACACCGCCGTGCTCCCGGACGGTCTCACACCCCCGTCTGCCAAGCTTGGCCGGGACTGAAAGGCTGGAGCTGGGAA